GAAATCTGAAAGTATAAGGACAAGGGCTGAAGTAAGAGCATTTTTGAGTGTTTGGAAGGCTTAAATTGTTGAATCTGACCATTGGAAAGCATTATTTCATAATAATAGGGTTAGAGGCCTAGCCAAGTCATCATACGCCTTGATGAACCTTCTGTAGTATACAGCTAACCCCAAGAATCCTCTTAATTGTTTAATGTTGCTATGGACAAGCCAATTGACCATAGCTTCTATCTTTCATTGATCTGTACAAACAGTGCCATGCTTGATAATGTGTCCTAAGTATTCCACAGTAGCTGTAGCAAAAGTACATTTGCTCCTCTTGACAAAGTAGAATTCTCTCACAAGATTCTGAATGTTATCTATAGATGTTTTCGATGGTTTGCAAGAGAAGAACTATAGATTAATATGTCATCCAAGAAAAATAAAATAAATCTTCTAAGAAAAGGTCTAAAAATGTCATTCATAGCTCCCTGAAAAGTGGCTAGTGCATTAGTCAAGCCAAAAGGCATGACTAGCTACTCATAGTGCCCAGAATGGTTTTTGAAGGCTTTTTTATGGGTATCCTCTAGTTCCATATGAATTTGATGGTATCCAACCCTAAGATCCAACTTAGTAAACCATCTAGCTTTACTTAATTCATCAAAAAGATCTTCTACTAAAGGAATGGGGTACTGATTTTTGACAATGTACTTATTGAGCTCTCTATAGTCCACACACATCCTCCATGTCCCATCCTTTTTCTTCACTAAAACTATAGGAGTTGAAAAGTGTGAACAACTATCTTGAATTACCCCATTCTCTAACAGTTCATTTACAATCTTTCCAATAACATTCTTTTGGGCTGCTAGGTATCTATAAAGTTTCAAACTAATAGGATTTGTCCCCTTTTTTAGAACAATTGGGTGGTTATGGCCATCTCTCAAAGAAGTTAATTCCTTAGGATCCCCAAAAACTCTTGAAAATCATCTAGGACCCCTTGAATTTCAGAAGGAATATTGTTGTCCACATCTGAAACAACAAGGCATTAGACTTCTATTCCTTTTCTGGTGACCAACTAGATTAGGAATAGTTGTTCTTCCTTCAAAGGGGCAATCTCAATCCTTGTTGATTGCACCATTTGGTAGGTGTTTGGGATGTTGGCTTGCAACTTTTGCAACTTCCCTTCATACCAGAAAAACATAAGGAGAGTTTCATGATCCCAAAAAAGCATTTTTTTTATACTTTTAAGCCATTTTAAACCAAGAACTAAATCATAGGTTTTAAGGTCTAAAATTCTTAAATCAAAGACAAACTCTAGGCCTTGCATTTTCCAACAGAGTCCTTCCCAAAGTCCATGAACCTTGAGTTTCTTGCCACCTGCAACTGATACAAAGGATAATTCTTTTGCATCAGTTTCCTATCCCAGTTTCTTGGCAAGTCTAAGGTCCATGAAATCATATGTGTTGCCACTATTAATGAGGATTCAAGTGGCATGCTTTTTAATAGTTCCTTGGACCCTTATGGCATCTGTATTGTTTGTCCCTTTAATGGCATGTAAAGAGATATGAGGAGTGGTCTTAGCTTCATCCACTTCCTCAGTCTCTAATTCTTCATCTACAGCATTGTCTTCTTCTTCCAAAAAAACAAAATGGAGTTGTATTTTCTGACATTGTGGGTATTTGTGATCTCTTGAAAATTTCTTATGGCAGAAAAAACAGAGATTCTTGACCCTGTGTTCAGCTTCCTCATCTGCAGATAAAGGTTTCAATGGCTTTAATGGTTTCTTTAAGAAAGAAGAAGAATTTTTTATTAAAGGAAGGGAAGACTTATCTCTCTAATGGGACCCACTACTCATAGTTGGGATGAGTCATGGCGTGAGAAGTAGAGGGTGCCACTTGAGTTGCAACGGACACGTGCGATATAGGCTTGAAGGACGTGTTCTTAGTATTATGCTTCATAGGGCTATTTCTTGGACTCTCATAAGCCTCCTAGCTTCACGCAACGTTCTCGGATTGAACATCTGAACCGAGACCTCAATTTCTGGTTTGAGAGCAGATACATAAGCGTCCACCAAGTACTCTTTAGAGAGATCGAGCTTCGTTGTGATGGCATCGAATTCGGCATTGAATTCTGCGAGAGAGCCTATTTGATGTGAATGAGTGGATTCGGCCATGGGGGTGTCGAGTAGAGGGCCGAAGGTATCTTTGAGTAGCTCAACCTACTCCTCCCATTGCATCAGATGACCTCCATGTTGCTTTTCCATCACGAGGTGCCATTTGAAACTCTGATAATCTGAATGCATCAACGCGACCTTCACCTTTGAAGCCTCTGGAGTTTCATCGAATTTAAAGAATCTTTCGCATCTTGCAATCTAGGCGAGGACATCGATACCAGTAAATCTTAGAAACTCCATTTTAGTAAACTAGGTTGGCCGGTGATGGCCATTGTGTTGTCCCTGTCAATCTTGCTCGTTGCATCGCTCATGGTCGTGATTCTAGGCTACTATAATACCTTCACGAAAATCCCAAACAAGGTTTTGAAGTTGGGTATTGAATCCCAAGACTGTTTCTTAGAGTTTATCAACAGTGCCCAGGCATTGTTCAATCTGTTTCAAGCGTTCCTCCATAATTCTTGTTTGGCCACAAGTAAGTACCAAGCACCGCGTAAGAATTCGTGAATAATGTCGAGGAAAGGCTAGCTCTGGATACCACTGATAGGATAGAAATAGAAAAGAGAGAGGTAGAAGAGTGTTCAGGGAAAAAGAAAGATAGAGGAAGGTAGGAATTAGGAAGAGAGAGCTAGAGAAGAGATGATCCGAGAGAGAAGACAGAGAGAAGGCAAGATCATATCTAAATAGTGCACTGTATATTCCTAAAAATCAATTCTGTACAATTGGGTACCCTCTCATATCTAATTATAGACCTAGCTAACATAATTAAATACTGATTAAATATCCTGTTTAATGGTTATTGGCCTTTACCTATCTAACTATTTAAAAATAATTATAATAATACATCAGAAGGACGGGTTACCAAATCTAATTCACACTTTAAACTCAAACCCCAGATTTCTAAATAAAAAATTTGAACTACGAAAAGAGGATATTCCTGAACTTTGGATCCCAAGATTTAAATTTTCCTTCAACTTGGATGGCACACAGGGCATGAAAGAATTGGGACTAACTTTGCCTTTCATTCCTGGGGAGCTAACAGAAGTGTCAGATTCTTCTTGCAGTCACAAGCTTTATGTTTCAAATATTCTACAAAGGGCATTTGTCAAAGTCAATGAAGAAGGGACAAAAGCTGCAGCCAGCACAGTAGCTGTTTGCCGAGCTCAATCAGCCAGGTGGCCCATGTCACGTTTTGCGGCTGACCATCCCTTCTTGCTCATGATAGGGAAAGAGACTTCCATGGCTGTGTAGTTCATCGGAGCAGTGCTCGACCCACTTTTGGATTCATAAGCATGGCTCTATGCCAAGTTTTTCTCCCTTTTTTTCTTTTCTATTTATTCTTTATTTTGATTTGGGGGTTGTAGCAATCCGAGTTTATTTACAGCAAACCTTTGTGGAGTTCTGCCGTCCCCTGTCATATTGTTGATGCATTGTTTCAAATGTAAAATGACACTAGTGATTCCTGGCAGCCACATTTTCATTTCCCTATCAATAATACTAGTTATTGTGTGTACCATAGCATCTGTAGAGGTAAAAGTAACTTTGATTAATGTGAATAAAAAAATGGAAATGACCTGGTAAACAGAATTGGTATTGACAACATGTTAAAGGGTTATCTGAAGATCTTTTTAGCAGTTAAATAGTTGTGTATGATATATAAAACAAAACAAGCTCCATTGTGGGTAAAATTTTAGGTGAGATACAAAAGAAGTTTGCTTTTCTTTGTATGCTTTTCTGCAAAAGGGACTCAATATAATATAAATAAGTTGAAGTAATAAATTGTTTAATGTTCAAAACATTCTCTTGAAAAGCCTCACAGCTGAAGATTGAAATATTGTGGTCAGCCAGCCTTTTAGCGTACATGACAGATTTACACTATGCTATCTTTACGAGTTTTGTAAAGCTTTGGACGGGTTTGTATATATGATGTTTGAATTGCATTTATCATTGGGGGCAACACAACGATGAGATCTTATTTTGGTTTGTGCTCAAGTAGGAGAGTAATAGAAATTTGAATGGGATGAGGATAACAGATCAAGAATATTATGAGGTTTTGGTAGAAGTTAAAATTTTAAATATAATTTCATCCTTGATAATATCGGTCGGTATTTTCAAAGTTCAAATTAAAAAAAACACAGTAAAACAAAGTAGGAATGACTTGATTTTCCTTCATTGTACAGCATCAATATAATGTGACTCCATTTCGTTGCATATGGAGTCTGAAGAATGAGTTAAAATGCCTATGGACAGCTATGCACGTTAAAGATTTTACACTTTTTTTTAAGCCAACAAAATAAATAAATTTGAAAAAAAAATCACCTATAGGTCTCCAGTAAGAAAATTAAATATAGAGACATCTAGAAAAATTTATATTTACACCTGCATATTTACAAGTTAAGCTTAATTAATCATCGATGTTCACAAGTCAAATTTTCCCTTTGAGTTTTATGTTTTTTTCACAATATTATAATAATTATACTGTTTTATATTAAGTACTACCTCTAATCCTTAATATAAGAGCTACAGTTAACTAATTTGAGTAGATTATGATATTTAGTTAGGTTAATTATTTGTAACAAATAAATGTTATCTTTTTTAAAATATTCTTATTAATAATGTGTATAAGTTAAAATTACTATTTGATTAAATATTTAACATTCATAATTACTACAGGCTAATAAGAATTACCTTGAAAAAATTGATGAATATATATATATATAAAAAAAGGGATTGAGTTTTTATGTTTAGAATGAAATTGAATTTTATACTTTATAAGTTTTAACGATATCCTTGACGGTTAAGCAATAGATGACATATTGAAGAATCCAGAACAACCCGGCGCAAATATTATATGGAGCTTATCGCCCATTCGCTTATAAATTTGGGCAAGCCACGCAAAATACGAGCACTGAAGCTCAAGAGAATGGCATCCCCTTCACAGAGACACGCTATTTCCTTCAACACCGATTTCTGTTTGCAATTGGCATTCAGAGTTCTTCAGAAACAAATTGAAAAGGGTTCCAATTTCGTGTCTTCCCCACTATCTCTCTATATCATATTGAGCCTTGTTGCTGCTGGAGCTAAAGGAAAAACCTTGGAGCAACTTCTCTCGTTTCTGGGATCTAATAGTAAAGATGATCTGAATTCTATGTCTTCACAATTTGTTTCTAGTTTAAGGCATGTTGAGGGCACTGAAAGTGGAGGTCCAATTCTGTCTTTTGCTAATGGCGCTTGGGTGGAAAAGACTTTTGGATTGAAGGCCAGTTTTGAAGATATAGTCAGAAATGTATATAGAAGCCAAATTGAACTGGTCGACTTTATCAAAAAGGTACTATTTTGATTATTCATCTTTGGGTTCTTTACTTGCACTTAACTCTCACTTTTGTTTTCCTTTTTGATTGCAATTTATTACATGTTTCTTTCATCAAAGTGGAACTGTGTAGAGAATAAACTGCAAAGCTTTTAATTTGACTGATTCTATGGATTTTGTTCGTTAGGCTGAGAAAGTTGCCCAGGAAGTGAACTCATGGGTTGAAAATGCAACTAGTGGACTGATAAGGGAGATTCTTCCATCAGGTTCGTTAGATCAAGAAACAAAACTAGTTCTTGCTAGTGCTCTATATTTCAAAGGAGCATGGGATCAAAAGTTTGATCCAACCATGACCAAAACCAAAAGCTTCAATCTTCTAAACGGGGAGAATGTAGAAGTTCCATTCATGACCTCCAAGAGAGGTGAAAAATATTATTACAATTCCTTTGAGAATTATAAAGTACTCAGCATACCTTACCAAAGTGGCAGCAGCCCTTTGAAGTTTAGCATGTATTTCTTTCTTCCACATGAGAAAGACGGCTTACCAAATCTGATTCACACTTTAAACTCAAACCCCAGCTTTTTAAATCAAAAATTTAAACTGCGGAGAGAGAATATGCATGAATTTTGGATCCCAAGATTTAAATTTTCCTTCAACTTGGATGCCACAGAGGGCATGAAAGAATTGGGTCTAACTTTACCTTTCACTCCTGGGGAGCTAACAGAAGTGTCAGATTCTTCTTCTAGCCACAAGCTTTATGTTTCAAATATTTTGCACAAGGCATTTGTTGAAGTCAATGAAGAAGGAACCGAAGCTGCAGCTAGCACAGCAGCTACTTCAAGAAAATGCTGTGCCAGGAGGCCCATACCAAGTTTTGTGGCAGACCACCCCTTTGTGTTCATGATAAGGGAAGAGACTTCCATAGCTGTATTCTTCATCGGAGCAGTGCTTAATCCGCTCTTGGATTCTTAAGCGATACTTACAATGAGAAGTATTAATAGTGGTACTTGAATGGTTTAAATCTTATTTATTCAGATCATGTGTCTTGACCTGGGTTCATCGTTTTTGGTAATTCCTATGTATTTTCTTTTGTCATAAATGTTATATGGTCCTACACTGAATTAGCTAGGTAACAAGCTCCTATGTTTAAGATTAGAGAAAGTATTTCTATCCTATGTATGGCCAACTTGCATGGCTCCTCAAGTAATGGGATACTACCTTTAAAGTTTAATATAAGACCTCATTTGATTTTATCTTGGTGATAACTTCTTATATTATTATGATTGTTCATATCTTATTTGAGGATCGGGAAAACTATTTTGAAAGTCCTTATGGTTTTTCTTGATTTTGAATTAGGTCCTTATACTGATTTTTCTTTTTATTAGATCCTTTAATTTTCTACCATTAGATCTATTAGTCCCTGCCGTTAAATATGAACAAACTCTGTTAAAACCTTTCATTACATCGTCTCCTTCCCCCATATTTTCCTGGCCTTGCTGTTCCCTTCCACCTCTGCATAACAAATCTGACATGCTTTTACATAATTAAAAATCTGAGATGGAATAATACATTGAATGTGATCAGAATGGTAAACATCACGCCAAGCCAGTAGAAGAACGTCATAGCTTTGTAGATTCTTAGTTTTTATTTGGTGAGCTAGGGTGCTTGTGGGTTTCAAAACTTTTTTTTTTTTCAAGACCATTTATAAAAAATTTTGCCGTTGAGTACTTTGAGCTTTACGAAAAGGTTATGCCTATTAAAATGTATGATCTAAATTACAAATTAATTTCAAATACAGCTACAGAATTTTGAGGGGTGTTGAAACATTTGTAGACAGAGAAGGAGATAATAATAATAAGCAGTGATTTTTCTCTTTGTATAGCCAACGAATTTGGAAGTTACAGTAAGGAGACATGATAAACAGCTTGATTTTCTCTTTTTACTTTCTCATCCTTATTGAAGAAGAAATCCGGAAATCATAGGTAATAAATTAAAAGTTATTTTTTTGGTCAATTGAGGATCTTAATTTTGAAATCAAAGAAGAGAATAAAAAGCTTCTGATAATATGTAATTTGCAGAATGAGATGGGAGTTTGCTTTCTAGGAGCTGTGAGGATCGCAAACCGGACAAAAAAAAAAGGGGGAGTAGATACAAAACCGAGAAGGTGATATGGTGGGAAAGACACAAGGTAATAGAGACTTTTAGCGGTATTTCATTTTACTTAACTGTAGGGACTAACAAATCTAACAATAAAAAATTAAAAGACTCAGTAAAAAGAAAAATAAAAATGAGGACCTAGTTTAAAATTGAAGATAATTATAAGGACTTCCAAATTAGTTTTCCCTCGAGAATTTTATCATATTTATTGAGTTTAAATGCATTAATTATGATTAATTTGAATTGAGAGTGGTTGCACGAAAATAGAGCTAAAAAGAGCAAAAATATCTTGAATTTTATTGCAAGAAAATTAAATGAAAAGCTGAAAGTGAAAAAAACAATGCTTAGGATATAATCAGATTCGCTATCGCCATTCAACGGGGACCAACTGAAAAACGAGGCAGAGCGCGTCCTCCATTCTTCACCATCACCATGTTCCAACCTCCACCACACACGCCACCATCTATCAACACTCGATCACCACAACCATCATCATCGTCTTTGATCATCTTCATCATCTTCGCAGTGGCGGCAGAGCTGAAAGAGGGAGACGCAGGAGAACAGAGCAGACGGAGGCAGAGCTAGTCAGCGACCTTCAGTCTTCACCGCCGGTGATCTCCATTCTTCCGTCAACCTGAATCGCTACCTCCCTAAACCCACCACCGCTGGCAAGTTCTGTCTCTTTCTCCGCCTCCGTCATCGTTCATGGTAGAAATTCAAATCATGTGCGGCTAATTTCGATGGTTGGAGATGGAGGATTGGGTTTTTGCTTCTGAGTAAGTTTGGGAGTTTTTTTTATTTCAATTCCTCTAAATAATTATATAATAGATTTCTTAAGTTATGATTAATACTATTTGATTAAATTTTATCAGATTACTAGTTATATTTCTTAATTTCAAACTTTTGTGATTGGGATTGAATTATGCAATTTGAAGTTTATACAGATATATTCTGTTTGAAGTTTTATGTGGATATATTGCTCTTTTCTACTTTGACTGAATTTTATGACTGCATTGTACTTGTTAAACATCTCAAATTGATGTTATCAAAAAAAAAATCTCAAATTGAGTGTTCTTTATATAAACAATCAAACTATATTAATCTAAGTCTAATTGCATGCTAATTGTTTTTTAATGGTATTTTTAATTGGTAATTGTAGGTAAAGTTTTAGGACATTCATTGATTAAGATTACTTGACTTAATCACTAATTAAAGTTTTGTTTTTAAATTAATGAACAAATAACATCCAATCATTCTGGGCAATGATAACTTAATTTTCATTTTCCAATAAGCATTCTCTCATATTTTTCTAAAATCCAATTTTTTTATCATTTGTGATCTTTTTAATCAATTTTCTTTTAATTTTATTTTCAAATTACTTTTCATATTTTTTATATAAAAGAAAATTAAAAAAAGTATTTAGAATTGTTTTTAATTCATCAGCAAAAATATATTTTAACTTTTTCTATTTGAAAAAAAAAACCCAGCCAAAAAAATCCTTTTTAGTAGCAATTTTGTTTTAGTCAATCTAGGATCTAGTTAATTTTTGGCTCTAATAAAAAAAATGATTTTGTTTTATATCACTTGCTACGTTCTAGATCAAATTTAATTTAGCCCCAAAGGCGACATGAGGATCAATTGGTCCTAAACATGAGACTCTAATTTACTTTGTCTCTCATATTTATCTATTTTTTTTCAAGGTAGTCCTCCTAATAATTGTAGTTTTAGTCAATATACTTGATTATTAAGGATATTTTAAAAAAGATAATACATATTTATTACAAATAACTAACCTAATTTATTTTTTTAATCCACTCAAATTAGTTAACTAACTCTTATATTTAAAACGAGGCTAGTATATCATAAGTCATAATCTTTCCGCCCCTGATTCTGGTGTTTATTAACAACGTGTTATGACTTGGGATTGTTTTTTAACCTCAAGCTTAAAGCTGTTATTATTATAAATAAATTGTTCGAATCATCAAAAGACTATAATCATGTAGCCAATATTACATAATTCAAAATTCAGATGAAGCTCTTCTTTGCAAAAAACCTGTGATGCCTAAGCATTTCTTATAAGATAAAATATTGAAAAATAAAGTGCACCAGATGATTATGTATCCTAGTTATCATAAATATCCGTATAGGTAAAAGTAATAGTAATGAATGTCAAAAACTTTTCATGAAATAGTTGTCTTGGGATTTTTTCTCCCTCTTTTAAACAATTAAATGTAAAATACATATAAAACAGAGCCCTAACCAAACCTGAAGGATTTTGGGCATACCTGGAGTCTGCAATGTAATCAGGTTGCCACGCAGAGGTCTGATCACGGTGACAAAGTCGGATCTGATAGACACAGCAAATGCACCGGAGAGAGAGTTTGGAGAGACGGAGGGTGAAGTCTGATGGAGGAGGAAAAACGCAAAATGCACTTCAGCAAACTGATCCCATTGGATCAGTTATGTAACTCCCCTCACGCTAGTTCAAATAAAAACCGTCTCCTTCGTTTTAACTGTTCCCGCTTTTGGCAAAATATATGAAAGGGCGAAAATTACAGTTAAAGACCCATGAGTTTTATAATTTACACCAGGACCCCAAATGATACTGGGCTTGGGTCCAATCCACCAAGGGTGGACTTGCCCATTTTCCTACATCTCCCACTCACACTTGGTGGATTAGATGTCGCAGGCCTAGTCTCTTCACCTTCCCTCAATTTCATACTTAGTGATTTGCTGTGACCGCGTGGGCATGACGTCTTCGCTTGGGTCCCTGTACTAGAAATCCCTTTTAAAGGATCAGCACAAGTCACCCTCTCCTTTGTGTAGCTTGAATTTTAAAATTATGCCTCAGATGTCCCAGATTTACTTATATACACTTTTTCACGGTAAATCTAATCCCTCTCGAGTCAATGGTTGACTTAGATTACCTTTCTCGTATGTCTAGTATCCACACTTACGACCACAAAATGTCATAAGGGACATGTCACAGACACTAGCATAGGTGTGTATATCACAGTTAATCTTCCTTTCGCCCAAATATCACTTTGAAATGAATCAGTCGCTTTCTTAGCATACTACCTTAGATCGCATCAATCATGACCATAGGACATATGCCAAAGTAGCAGTCACTGAAACATATCTTCATGATATTGTCAAAGTCAAAGGACACCAATAGGAGGATAATTCCTCCCTGGGACTCACACAGCAATGAAGCAGGGATCTTTCACTTGCTTCCCTTTTGCGGTTCTCTCAGCACATGTGGTATGAAACACATGCTACGGTGTTACTCTTTTACTATAAGAGCGTATGTCGATTTAGATTTATTATTAACACCGTACAGACTTAGGTCCAGACACACTCAGTATCTAAACCCAAATTCTTCAACTCTGCTCATTGTTATGACGTCGACGTTGAAGAGTTTGTTGTCTGGCTACAGGTATTATGGAAGTGGGATTCCAAACTTCGATCCAGCTTTATCAACGTGGATCTCATCTTGACTTGCTACACTTTAGTCAAGGCGACATAAAGTTTGTGTTTCTTCCCTACCATATCAGCATTCATTGCTGCTTTACTGGTGAACACAAATGTCTCATCTTTGTTCACTCCACCTGAGTGTCAAAGGCGGTTGCCCGTGTGAGAGAGCCAACCTTTTTAACCTGTACGACATACTAGACATTGTATACTTTCGGACAGACACATAAAGTGATAACGAAATATAATTTCATTAATGAAGCATTCATATTACACTTTACGTATGCCAAGGGCTTGTACATGTTCTTTAAAAACTTTTTCGCCTATTGGCTTTGTCAGAGGAT